TGATGATTAAAGGCTTAGAAATTAAAACATATGAAGATTTGGTGCATAGGCTTTCAGTGTACATAAAAAGACAAGATATATTCGTCAAGAATCATAAGGTACAACACTTAATGATAGTCATAGGATACAAATCAAGCTATTCTCCAAAGCACCTGAGGACAAGAAGCAATGGATGGAAACTAATCATGGAGGAAAGCAATTAGAACTAAAGAGAAATGTCTTGACAGTTAGAACAATTAATCAGAGGAACAACTTGCCTCCAGTAGTTGTGAATGCCCCAACACTAGAAGTTTTAAAGAAGAGATTTGTCTGAAATGGTATAGGGTTTCCTGCCTGAGCAGAGGGTTGGACTAGAAGACTTCTAAGGTCCCTTCCAACTCTGTTATTCTAATTCTAAACTTGCCGTCAAATATTATTCCTTTTCATTGGTTACTTTAATTTAAGGTGTTTTTATTAATAACTTGAAATATTGAGCATCGAAACATACTGTATTTCTACAAGTATTTTTCTATGGAACCCCAGCAGTCTAATCAAATATATGCTTTATTTTCGCAATTAAGAGCGTATATTAGGCACAATAACCGTATTACCTTCGGTTATAGAAACTTCTTAACTTGTGCAAATTGGGAAACCAGCACAGGAACAGGCTGCAAGATTTTCATGTTTGGCTTGGTTTTCCCTTTGGAGTTCATTTGTTTATCTGTCAAATTTCATGACTCTGAGCAGTTTACAAATGAAACTTTGGTTGGCCAATTATGGGTACAGAATGCTGGACTAAAAGGTTCTGCCTAATAGAAGCTGCCATAGCGTACATGCAAACCTAGTGATATCAAAAACATGAACAAAAACATTTCAACAGATGTCCGTGTTCCCTATGTAAACTTGCCCTTTCATTTCTCAAGATGCAAATCTGGTTCACATCCTTCTGAAATGCATTAGCACTGGCTAAACAAATGACAATACATTATATATTTCAGCAAAGAGCAGAGCGATTGCTATCCCAGTTGATCTTGACAGCCAGGTCAATAACCTCTTCCTGAAGTCTCACAATATAGTGCAAAAAACAGCGATGAACTGGAGGATGACGGCAAGAAATGCTGCCCGGAGAGATTCTGTGATGGCAGCGTCAAGGGATTATCGTAATATCATTGAGAGGTTGCAAGTAAGTATAATATCAATACCTGCTTTTAAGCATTTAGGGGATATGTGATTTGTATGAAGAAATAGCATGTCATCCCTTTGAGGAAGTTAAGGAGAGCAGCACCAACTGTGAGTACTATCTATATCAGTGTTTTTCAACCTTTTTTGTGCAAAGGCACACTTTTTTCATGAAAAAAATCACGAGGCACACCACCATTAGAAAATGTTAAAAAA